TCGAGTGATAATTCCAAATCAGTTGTTGCAAATCTTCCCGAAATGAAAAATTTTTATATATAACATCAGTTTTAGGTCGTTGACTAAAAGGTTGCAATTCAAAAGTATCCAGCCGGATAATTCGTTCAATGGTTTTTTCTGATACCTAGAATGGTACAATCCCCAAAATTAGACCAAAAGTTAAGTTTAATGCATCCCAAATGTCACTAAGCCGAGCTAAGGTTTCCGCTTTCCTTAGGTCTGCTTTGTAATGCCTGTTAGGCCTTTAAAATTTGCATTTTCGCATCTGAGTTTATGATTTTTGGCATATTTGCTTAATACTCCAGTATGCAGATAATTTTGGCCTGAAAAAGGTGGTGTAAAAGATTTTATTACTTTAAATGGTCCATTTGGGTCCAAATAACATGGATTTGAAGAGTGCATACTACTTTTTCCCGGCACAACTTTTGGCAGTCAAAAAACCTCAAAATGTTTGGACTTTTTTCAGTTTTTCGCTTAAAACTCGAAAACGCCATATTTTATGAATAACACTTCTTCAAAAAAAAAGAAAACAAAACCCTGTTGATTGAAAAATTGTTAAAAGCGATCAATGAACACCCATTTTTCCAACTTTTCTAAAAAACTGAGGTAACCTTTTTTTTAATGCGCTGTCTCCTAAAGGAACGATAAAATTCACTACCCCCTTCCTAAAGATTGTAGGACTTCCGAGTTCAAAAAGTACCAACAATTAAAAATTGGATCAATTTCTGAAATGTGTTGGAAATTATTGAATGAGCCGGAATGAACAAGACAAATTGCTTGAATGGCTCTCCCAACACCACCCTTTCACTGCAACTGATGCCCTCATGTCGCTAAGCAGCGGCATTTGTGACGTTTAAGCCGTAAAGGTCAGTCCGCCTTACCCCTTGTCTAATAACTGGCAAGCGAAAGTTTCATATAAATTGTAAGGTGCTGCGTCATGAAAAAAGCAACCCCGAACTTGTAAAGTCCCTAAGAACATTGTTTTGGGTGTAATGCTTGCCAAAACCACGTCTTTTGTTCAAGTTACTAATGATTTTGGACATTTTCGACTTTCTACATTATTTCAGGTTATTTCTAAATTGTAAGAAACTTGTCTTTAAAAAACACATCAAAACTTCTATTCCCAAATGACATCGTTTGTGGTTGCGTTACCAGCATATTGATTTCATTTCCAAAATTCACTAACACGCTTCAACTACAGTATGTGTAGTTAATTTTCATATCAAATTTAATGAGCGTGGTTGGAGCACCCGAAATTTAAAACATCTCTAAAACTGTCGTTTTAGATGTTACACTTACCCAAACCACGTCTTTACGCAATGGGCTAATGACTTTGAATTTTCTACAGTATTTCTAATGTGTTTTACAACGTCCCTTGGGGATCAATAAAGCACCTCCTTGGGTAGGAATTTTACAGATCAGAAAGGCATGCCCGAAACCTGAGTATAGCCGCAAGTTCAATCGTTCCATTTGTCATAGTTACTAAGACTAATACCATTAAACACTCATGCAAGAAGTAATAATAAAAGAAACAAGACAAAATTATCTGGTCTGAATATGCGAAAAATGGAAATCCACTTTTCTTCAACTCTAAAGAAGTTTGTGAATACGTTGATATATTGAATGCATTTTTGGACCAATTGAATGGCTCTAATAAGGACCCGGATTTAACATGAATACAGAGAGAAAGAATGAAATTGCTAGTCACCCTTTTCGTACAGTTTTTAGGCATGAGGTGACACATAATAATCTTGAGTTGCATGCGTTTCGATTTCAAGCAATTTCATTTTGCGAAGGTATTTGGTTCACTCGTTTCAAATTAATTCAAAACTCTGCGACAATTATTATCAAAACTAATAAAAAGGCAAGTGCGGTTTTTGTTAAGAATGAAATTATCAACAGACTTCTAAACACCTGTTTAAAATGCCGACGCCGCCGACGCAATGGATCGCACATGTGTTTCCAATTGTAGACTCGGATAGATAAGATGATTGTAATTGTCGTGTAGAAATTTTTGATTTGGAAAATGATTGATTGAAACTAACGGCAGTTATTACATGTGTGGAGGTAAATTTCCATACACAATATTTAGTCACACTTTACCTATTGTCGAAATC